CCGGCTGGAGATGAACCAGCCGCCTATGCCCACTGTGGCGCCTTCGGCACATGCGTCTGCGGCTGCTTTGCCTGCCAGGATTGGCTTGCTTTGCAGCGGGCATGCCAAGTCTGCTTGCTTGAAAGCATTGAAGAAGCCACTCTGTGTTGGCTCTGCTTGTTTTGGACAAATGAGTGTGCTCGGCAGCGGGGTCGGCTATGCGCACCCAAGCTGTTTTGTGGCTGGGCACCACTTGAGGCAAAGTACAGGAGTTTGTTGGTATTCTAATACCTTTGACCCAAGTGGCATGAAAATGCCGTGCACGGGCGAGGCCAGTACGGCTTTGGCGTTCAGGGCCGAGAGGAAGGCAGGCCACAGGTGTGCGTTCACTGAGATCATGCAGCCTGGTGGCGAATGCAGATCTGCATATAAAGGCGCAAGCCAAGATCTCAATTCCAGGCTTAGGCTGGTGGCCCAGCTGAGCAGTCCCAGCACTTGCTCCAAAAGCTTTCTTTTGATTCTTTTTGATCGGAGCAGGGCATGCAGTTGCTCCTTAAGCTTAAGGGTTTTAAGCGGTGTGAGTTTGATGGTTTCTCGGTAGAAATTAATGGACCATCCGCACCAAGTCAGGCAGTCTTGGAACTGCACTTTCTTCCAGGAAATGGGCACACTGATGGCTGCGAAAAATATGACAATCAATGCAAGTTGTTGATGCGCGTCTGGGCGGCGCAATGCGGCCGAAAGGTCGTCGACAAACAACCAAGCTCTGTGCGGGTGTGCTGACAGAACGCTGTGTAGCAGTCTGAGCAAGAATGCTCCTGTGACGGGGAAAGGACACGCATTGTCTTTCTCCCTGCACCCCCAAGCCTTGACTTCCAAGCAACGCCTCATAAATTAAAGGACCGGATAACCCCACATGCTATGTTTTTCCCAAGGATGTGAGTTCAAATGTCCACACACATGTACCGTGCGCCCCTTGTATGGATGCGATTACAGAGCAGGTCTAGCGCGCTTTTTTCATCGCAGGCGTTGCTAACCTACTGCAGCCCGAGCCGCTAATCAAGAAAACAAAGCAAGTTCAAGACATTCTCGAACTTAGTCCATCTTGTTAGATTATTGGCTGCGCCGCACGTGCATCTCAGGAGGTCATCTTGCAGCTCAGCATCGGAGAAGATCTGGACACTTTCCCAAAGAGAAATAGCACTGTGGTATCCGTTGGACGATGAAGTCAAGCTTTTTCAGTCAGATGTCCATCTCAAGGCTTCTCCGCGGGGAACCTGCAGGGCCTGCCTTCCTGAAAGGTTCCAATGAAGGTGCGCGCTGCGGCTGGAATGTCGACTTCGGCAACGACTTCGGCAACGACATCGCCAAAGTGCTGCGCCTGCCACGATTTCGCACGCCCCCCGCCGCGCGCGCGCCAACATCCTGTCCCTCTAGACAGCTGCCGAATCTACCCCTGCCACTCAAACACACACCCAGATGCACAGAATGCTGCGCCTGCCACGACTTCGGCAACGGCATCGCTAAAGTGCTGCGCCTGCCACGATTTCGCACGCCCCCCGCCGCGCGCGCCAACATCCTGTCCCTCTAGACAGCTGCCGAATGCTACCCCTGCCACACAAACACACACCCAGATGCACAGAATGCTGCGCCTGCCACGACTTCGGCAACGGCATCGCTAAAGTGCTGCGCCTGCCACGTTTTCGCACGCCCCCCGCCGCGCGCGCGCCAACATCCTGTCCCTTTAGACAGCCGCAAATTTCTGCCCCTGCCACACAAACACACACCCAGATGCACAGAATGCTGCGGCTGCCACGACTTCGGCAATGGCATCTCCAAAGTGCTGCGCCTGCCACGATTTCGCACGCCCCCCGCCGCGCGCGCGACAACATCCTGTCCCTTTAGACAGCTGCCGAATGCTGCGCCTGCCACGATTTCGCACGCCCCCCGCCGCGCGCGCGACAACATCCTGTCCCTCTAGACAGCTGCCGAATGCGACCCCTGCCACACAAACACACACCCAGATGCACAGAATGCAGCGCCTGCCACGACTTCGGCAACGGCATCGCCAAAGTGCTGCGCCTGCCACGATTTCGCACGCCCCCCGCCGCGCGCGCTGCGCCTGCCACGATTTCGCACGCCCCCCGCCGCGCGCGCGACAACATCCGGTCCCGTTAGACAGCTGCCGAACGCTGCGCCTGCCACGATTTCGCACGCCCCCCGCCGCGCGCGCGACAACATCCTGTCCTTTTAGACAGCTGCCAAATTCTGCACCCTCCACACAAACACACACCCTGATGCAACAGAATGCTGCGCCTGCCACGATTTCGCAACTGCATCGCCAAAGTGCTGCGCCTGCCACGATTTCGCACGCCCCCCGCCGCGCGCGCGACAACATCCTGTACCGTTAGACAGCTGCCGAACGCTGCGCCTGCCACGATTTCGCACGCCCCCCGCCGCGCGCGCGACAACATCCTGTCCTTTTAGACAGCTGCCAAATGCTGCCCCTGCCACACAAACACACACCCAGATGCACAGACTGCTGCGCCTGCCACGACTTCGGCAATGGCATCGCCAAAGTGCTGCGCCTGCCACGATTTCGCACGCCCCCCGCCGCGCGCGCTGCGCCTGCCACGATTTCGCACGCCCCCCGCCGCGCGCGCGACAACATCCTGTCCCGTTAGACAGCTGCCGAACGCTGCGCCTGCCACGATTTCGCACGCCCCCCGCCGCGCGCGCGACAACATCCTGTCCTGTTAGACAGCTGCCAAATGCTGCCCCTGCCACACAAACACACACCCAGATGCACAGAATGCTGCGCCTGCCACGACTTCGGCAATGGCATCGCCAAAGTGCTGCGCCCGCCACGATTTCGCACGCCCCCCCGCCGCGCGCGCGACAACATCCTGTCCCTCTAGACAGCTGCCGTGAGTCAGCGAGTGTGAGTGAGTGAGTGAGCGAGTGAGTGAGTGAGTGAGTGAATGAGAGTGAGTGAATGAGAGTGAGTGAATGAGAGTGAGTGTGAGTGAGTGAGTGTGAGTGAGCGTGAGTGAGTGAGTGAGTGAGTGTGAGTGAGTGTGAGTGAGTGAGTGTGAGTGAGTGTGAGTGAGTGAGTGAGCGAGTGAGTGAGTGAGTGAGTGAATGAGAGTGAGTGAATGAGAGTGAGTGTGAGTGAGTGAGTGAGAGTGAGGGTGAGTGAGTGAGTGAGTGAGTTTGAGTGAGTGTGAGTGAGTGAGTGTGAGTGAGTGTGAGTGACTGAGTGTGAGTGAGTGAGTGTGAGTGAGTGTGAGTGAGTGTGAGTGACTGAGTGTGAGTGAGTGAGTGTGAGTGAGTGAGTGTGAGGTGAGTGAGTGTAAGTGAGTGAGTGAGAGTGAGTGAGTGAGTGAGTGAGTGAGTGAGTGAGTGAGTGAGTGAGTGAGTGAGTGAGTGAGTGAGTGAGTGAGTGAGTGAGTGAGTGAGTGAGACAGTGATGAGGAGGGAGGGCGGGAGGAGGAGGAGAAGGAGAAGGAGACGCGGCGCGCGGACGACGAGCGGTAAAAGTAAGAACCCCACACATAGATGTGGGGAATAAAAAGAGCAAGTGCACCTTTTGTCGGTCGTACTCTTTTGTCTTTTGTTGCGTGTTCCCTTACGGCTTGAAGCAGTGATCAAGATTCTAACCTGCACGGCGCTCGTTTGAGGGCAGCTTTCACAGCTCTTGACCCTTTCAATGCGGAAGATGTCCCCAGTCAGCTCTGCCCCACCTTCCGTGCTCCACCGCAGTTTTTGCGGGGCCCCTTGCTCCAGGCCCTTTAGTGGCTCTCGATGGCATCCGGCTGTCTGCCTCCCCAGACGGTGCCTCTCCCCGTGTCCCCGAGGAGGTGTTCGCGGCCCGGTTTTCGGCTTTCTTTCGTGGTGAGTGGGCGGAGCTCTTGCGCCAGGCCATCCCTTCGGGCCTCCGCGTGCCCGCGCCAACGCCCCCCTGCTGGTGAAGCGCTACGCCGAGCGGGAAGGGGCCGGTGGTGCTGCATGTGGGGAGCTGGCCCCCGGAACAACAGCCCGCACAGTGCCTGTTTCAGGTGGTCTTGTAATTGTGCGGTCACGGGTTCGGTTCCGGTTAGGTCCGCAACAAACTCGAAACGCTTCTGTGCAGAAGCAGTGCGCGAGCTGCATTCCTGCCTGCGAGAGATCGCAACTTGCACATAGCAAAACTTGCACAGAGCGCTCGCGGAGAGTGACGTGCAGACTTGCGCAGGGCAACTTACACAGAGCGTTCACGCAAAGCAAAGCACTTGCTTCGAGCAACTTGTGGAAGGATTGCACGAATAGCAACCTGCAAAGAATGTACTGCACCTGAGAATTTGCTCAGGGCAACTTGCGTAAAACAACATGCGCAACGCAGTCGCAGAGACCGACGCGCAGACTTGCGCAGAGCGATTTTGCGCCGAGCGCAAGTGCGCAAACAGTGCCACAACAGCAGCTTGCGCGAATCACCTCGCACAGAGCGCTCGGAACAACCCACTTGAAAAGAGTTACCTGCACGGAGAAGCTGTGCAGAACAGTTTGCATATAACAACTTGCGGTCTGCAGATTCTTTAGCTCATTATGTGGAACACCCTCACTGTTATTGAGGGCGTGTGGTCATCGCGGTGTGGATCGGGGCTTGACGATACATGAGGGCAACATGTTTCCGGGCCAATTTTCGATTATTATTTCATCATTTTACTCTTTTGCTCTTTTGCTCCTTAAAGTTTGCATTTCATGAAGTCTTGCTGCGGAAGCCATCCGTGCACAATGTGTGCTCGTGTGTGTGTGTGTGTGTGTGTGTGTGTGTGTGTGTGTGTGTGTGTGTGTGTGTGTGTGTGTTTGGTTTGTTGATAAACACGTTATACTAATTCTGTTATGGGAGACGCCACGATAATACCTATCATATGCACGTTGTCGGCTCTGGACTTGCCACAAAGAACGTAGTCACCCAGACCAACGCATGCGCTCCAACTAAAACAAGCCCCTGCCAGCTTTGGAAGCAGCAGCCCCCCTTCCCCGTTTTGGGCCCTGGGCCGTGCTTCCACACAGCACGGGCTTCTTGGGCCCGCCGTGCCGCCATGTTGATGTTGGACTCAACTCCAACGTCATCCAGGGCAAGCACCATGTTGCGAGGGACGCGCCGGACGACCACAAATGCACCGTTCGGTCGGGCTCTCAAATATTTTCAATGGCTCCAAAATTATTGTTTATTTGTTTTTCAAGGAAAACACTGATTTGGAGGGCCGCATGTGTTCGCCTGTGAGGCTTTCTTCCCGACAGACGAAGGGGCACTTTCGAAGATACGCTGGACCAGGGCTTGGTGGCTCTCAAGGACAGAGCCGCATGAAAAAACATACGGGGACTGTGGAATGGGGCATCTTTGTTGTCCTTGTATGGTGGAAAGTCTGAATACTCTGCCTGCTGGGCTAGTTTGGGTGTCACGCAAGTTGATTCATGGATACCCCGAGCTGCAACACAGGGGGGCTTCGCTTGGGTGAATCGCTAGGTGGGGTTGGTGGTGGGCCTTTGACCATAGTTCCCACAAAGGTCCTGAAGCTTTTGAAAAAATGTCAAGCTCTACTGAGAAGAAAGGAACATGTTTCTCCACCAAACATCAAGTTTGGCCAATGTAAGTTTCGGACAGCCTTTGAGTTCATTTGGGTATGGGTCAAAATTTCAAGCACCAGGATATGGACCACAGGTTTTGGTCCACGTTTCCACTTGCCAGGGCAACCTTGCAAATGGAAACATGGACCAAAACCTGCGGTCCCCTGTTGGTTAGGTGCATTTGGGGGTTACCCTATTTTTGACAACCATAGCCATTTCCAAAAGCTGCGCGGCTTCTCCACCTCGACGTCGCGAGGAGCAGCTCCTGCGAGCGCACGAGCGCGAGTGCGGCTCGCCGCGCGATAGCCCCAGTCGGAGCCTCGGGTGAGGGCCCTCGTTTACGAGGCCGGCTGATGTGGATCCCTAGGTGGTTTTGGGATGCATGTTTGTTTTTGGGACTCCCAAGCTTGTTTCCCAAGAAAAGTCTGGTAGGGTAATTAACTTTCTCATTCTGGGCCAGGGACTTTATTTTGCACAAAGAGCTTCTAATGGTGGAACATATCATTCTTTTCTCCTTTTTCTTACATATTGGCTTGTCTTTCAAAGTCCTGAACCTAAACCAAACCTAAACAAAGCCCCTAACCAGCCCTAAGCCTAAACTTTAGGCCCTAAACCATCCCCAAACCTGAACTCCTAGGACCCTCGAATGAAACTACCAAGGCAAACACAACCAAGAATACGCGAACCAGAACAAGCTGCTGGATAAAACCTCTACCTGCAGAACCGTTTGGGCGTATGCCAATGAAAGCTATGACGTCCGGACTTTTGCATTTGGGCATGTATCAAAACAGAGGGGATCCCAAGGAAGATGGCATGCCGTCCGTTTTCCCTTAAAACCACTTGAGAAGTTTGGCCGGTGTCTGAGGCAAAAGAAATGGCAAGGACGAGATCGTAAAGTTCTCGGCGCCGCAATCGCCACTGCCGGCGGCCTTAAGCCAGTCCGGTCGGGTTTTTGGCTTCCTTGCAGTGAGGGAAGGTTGCCGCCATAAAAAGGGTGCCCTCAAGGACACGGCAGTAGTTTCAACAATCACCTGAGGATCCCCTTGGTACAAGAAGCGGCTTTTGGATGGCAGAAGTCACTCCATTGGGATGTTGTGGAGGGAAATCACCACATGCCTTGAATTTGGAGCGTGGTCACAGAAATCCTGTCGTTTCTGATGTCCACCAGAGGGTACATTTCCGCTTTTTTGAATACCTAGCTGTTTGTGAAATACCATTAGGCCGGTGAGACCAAAAGGAAATCACAATTTTGTTTCGGCCCCACTGAAGAAACGCAAAAGTTGTTGTCTTTTCCACAGGAAGGCAACCTTTTTGCAATTGATGCGAAGGGAAAGCAAACTGCACTCTCATTCTTTCCCACGAGTAGATTCCTTTGTCATTGTGATTCATGACTATGCTCTGTCAAGGCCCGTTGGGTGTGATTTTGAAAGAGGATATTTTGGGGAAACCGCCAGGGAACTCCTTGTGCATTTGTCGGGTGTTGGAGATGTGCAATTTGTTGATTTGTGTTTGTGTGTCTTTTCTAGAGGGTACCCCTTTTTTGTGGTTTTCAAGGGAACTCAAAAGGAGAAAGCCAACTTCAATTGGCCAAGATCATGTTTGAACCTACGGGCAAACGTGAAAACCCTGGCTTATCCCCTGAATCGGATATCAGGTTTATTCGCTACACCAGCCTGAAGGCAGCTCCACGGCGTAGGTGTTTTACTCGGTTGGAAAGAGTTGCGGATTTTCCCCTTTTTTTGGGAACCCCACAATGGCGGTTTTTTCTTTTGGTCTCCCTTGAAAATCACAAACAAAAAGGTGCCGATGGTGCGGCAGAGAGAGAGAGAACTCCAACACAAACTCCCTTGAACACCCCCAAAAAACAAGGGTGTCCCCCACTCCAAAGAAAAAGAGGGGACACTTAAAGAGGGAGGGAGCCCCCCCTGTGCCACGGTGGCATTTGGGTGTGGGTCAAAATTAAACCACCAGGATATGGACCGCAGGTTTTGGTCCATGTTGCCACTTACCAGGGCAACCCATTTGGGGGTACCTAAAGCAGCAAATGGAAGACCAAAACCTGCGGTCCATATCCTGTTGGTTAAGTCCATTTGGGGGTTACCCTATTTTCCACAACCACAGCCATTTGTTGGCTCGCGTTGGCCCGAGGATGGCGGTGGCCCTGCCGGAGTTGGCCACCTTGCAGCCGGACGTGCCCAGCCACCTGGCGGACTTGCCGCGGGACAGCCCCACGGCGCCAAGGGATTCCCCCACGGGCTCCTCGGGGAATCGGAGCTCCAAGAGGAGCGGCGCAGCTCGGCGCGAGGTTTTTTGGGAGTCTTTGGGAGTTTTTCGTCGTTGCTATCTTTACTTCCTTTAGGGGGTTTGTTTTTGGGTGTTTTTTTTGTGTTGTTGTTTTTACTTCCTTTAGGTTTTTCTTGGGGGCGAGGTGGCAACCTCTCAAGGACAAAATGTGGGGGTAAGGAATGTCACACGTAGATTTGGTGGATTGGCCCAACCGATTTCTACGTTTCCCAAAATTCTCCAACAGGGAGCGGGAGCCCTGGAAGTGGCCTAAGTTGAGCCTCTGGCTGAGCATGCCAGTAAGGGAAAGCCTCACTAAGGAAAGCGGGCAATGCCGCCTGGAAGTGCCACAGCACTCCAGCTTCGAGATCATCGCACCCAGCTACGACGCCAACAATTCCAACGACTCCCACAAATCCGACTCCCACAAGTCACCCCGGGCCAGGGCTCAGGACGGACGCGCATGCCCTGCATGCCATGCTTTTGGCGCGCCTTTGGCCACGACACGTGCACCCGGCCAACCATGTCGCACGTCAGGAGCGAGCTGAACGGAGGTCCAGTTTGTCCAGCCACTCAAAGACAACTGCGAGGATGCAAGCAGCGGGGCCCTCAAATCGCAGTGTTTTCCCAATACAGCACTTCAGAGAGGGTAGCAAGGGCTGGTGGGCTTGCTCCTTGCTATGACCATCCAAAAAACTTCAAGGTTTTTAGCCTCCCCACTCCCCACCACAGAGGAGGCTTTGCCTGAGGTCTTAGTTGAGAACGGGCTGGACGAGGCAGGGGGTTGGAAAGTCTGCTGGGGACGACTCTGGCCGGTCAAAGGCTTATGGCTTGGGATTTGCCTCCTCCCTTACGTTTCCCAATGCCACAAAGGTTCGCCTTTGTTCCTCCCTCCCGGATTCTGGTCAACGTGTTTCTTTGCATTTTTTGGATGCTTGGCTCCCTTTGGTTGAGCTGCCCCTTGGCCCACCCAATTTCACGGTTTCCTTGGAGACGCCAAAAATCCATATGGTGGAACCTGCGCTAAGCTACTGGTAACCCACATCTTAATGTGAGCCCAAATTGGTAAACCCCTGGTTGCTTTACCGCGGGGTGTCCCCACTGAAAAGCGGGAATCCGTTACTTCTGAGAAAAAAAGAAAGAAAAAACACCCCTGTTGGTTTAATCCGGGATTGCCAGTAGCATGTTTACCACAGCTTTGAATCAACTGTGAAACCCTTGCCCTGGCGAATGTGGAGAGACTGATGAACTAGGTGGGTTACAAGTGAAGGCTCATTCCCTCCACGGGGTCTCCCTTTCAACTACTTTCAAGTTTCATCTCCACCCCCAGGGTATGGATGGGGGGGTGGATTTGATACCCAAAACGAGACCGGGACCCTGAAAGTGTGAATGAATGCAAGGTTCATTCATTCCTCGACGGGTCGCACCCCCCTTTCCCTTCCAACCGAATCACCCGGAGATTTGTGAATGGCTACCGCTGGAGCCCCTTGGATTCAGAATCGATCCTGAGTTCCAGTTATGTTTTCCTTGATATCCGTCCCATGCCTCCACGGATTCGGAATCCAAGGAGTCTCCCATAAGTTCCTGAATTTCACTTTATGGGCCTCAAGCGGCAGACGACCAAAATACCACTTGCAAGTGTTCCCGGGGGAAATCCAGTCACGTCTCCGGATTCGGTCTTGGTTTCGGAATCACTGGGCCCATCATTCTACCAGTACAAAAGTCACCCTCCAAGTGGTAGGTTAAAGGAAAAACCACCAACTTGGAAAAAACCGCTGGGATAGAAGAAGCCACTTAGGCTAGTTGGAGGAGGTTCCGGCCACGGTTCGTCAAAACCGCGAGGTTCCGCCCACTTAGGTTGGTTAAAACTCGTTTGTTCTCAGGGGACTACCATGGGACTACCCCAGCGTGGGGTCATGTTGACCATTTCTGGGGGTCAAAGTCAGGAGCTGGCACCCTCCGACATAACTTGGGTATGGGTCAAAGTTTAATCACCAGGGGACCGCAGGTTTAGTGCTTGGTTCCATTTACTAGGGATCGAATTTGGGTACCTATTTTGGACCCACACCCCAAATAGAATGATCCCCCATGAGCCATGACTTGTGGTTTCCTTCAAGGGAGTCCGCTTCTGGTTCATTCCCAACACCCGAAAATTCATTCCCTACTGAGCCATCCTTATGCAACACCCAAAATGGGTTGCCCTGGCAAATGGAAACATGGACCAAAACCTGCGGTCCATATCCTGTTGGTTAAGTTCATTTCGGGTTATCAAGCACCCAAAACGGGCTGCCCTGGCAAATGGAAACATGGACCAAAACCTGCGGTTTTCTGGTGGTTAAGAATTCTTCCTTCGGGCCCCGGCCGAATCCTTCGATGCGAGCGTTCGCACCCCGAAAACCCCCACACCCCTCGCAGCTCGTGGACACCTCGGTGGCCTCGATGTGCCGGGCGCAGTCCACCATCTCCACAGGCGCCGATCCCAGTTTTTTCTTTTGTTTTTAATATGATAATATAACTAAACAATTAAACAACAGCAATGTGTAATACATAATTAAACAGCAACAAAAAATGTGTTTGGTCCTCAAGGTTTTTTTTTGGAGGACACCGGCTGGTAGAAAACCCTGGCACTTTGGGAACTGCCTTTAAACCAGCCTGTGACCTTTGCGTGATTTTGGTTTTGATCAGTTCTTCTTGGGAG